CGCAGTCGGTTAAGCGTCCGACTTCAGCCAGGTCACGATCTCGCGGTCCGTGAGTTCGAGCCCCGCGTCAGGCTCTGGGCTGATGGCTCAGAGCCTGGAGGCTGTTTCCGATTCTGTGTCTCCCTCTCTTTCTGCCCCTCCCCCGTTCATGCTCTGTCTCTCTCTGTCCCAAAAATAAATAAACGTTGGAAAAAAAAATTTAAATAAAAAAGCATCGAATCTCTCAAGCACAGCTGTTACATCCTAATGAGTGTTTTTCAAAGGTCCCAACCTTCAGTTGCTACTGACAGTCAGTCTTAACTGCCACGGCCCCCACAACCCGGCAACCCTGACTTGGAAAGTCACATGACACCAGGGGTATCTGACCCCAAAATGTGCTTGATTTCTGCCCCGCATTTTCTGTCTGTACCACTCGGACACAGCAGAAAACAGAGCCATTTTCTACAATCCTCTGTTTGGGATTTCCCAAGGCTAAGCTACAAATAATGTCATCAGAGGAGGCGGGAGCCAACTGCTGTCAGGAACTGAGCTAAGGCCAGTCAGCTGGTCAGCAGACTAGGGTTTCAAAGGTCAGAAAGACAATACCTCAATGCCCACTGCCCTCCCACCATCCAGCCAGAGTCCTGGCCGCTCGATCATTCACACCATTCTGCCAACACATGGCAGGAGGAGGTCAGAACACAAGTCATTTCTGGCCTGGCTTCATGCATTGGAGATCCCCATTTAACACAGATATTTCACAGCCCTCATTTAGAAATGGAGTAAGGACCATCTATAGCACAGACAGCATTAAATGGGAAGGAATCACAACCAACAGTGGGGCTTGGGAGGGTAACACGAAATGCCCAAGCCATTAGGAGGACCTGCTCAGGACCCAGGCTTCCCAGAACAAGCAGGACCCGGGAAAGATATCCCAAGGAATGGACTGACCAGAGCCCTGTCCAGGGACACCCTGCACCAGCAAGGGCAGGTCAGCCTGGGTCATCCCATATCCTGATACGCCTAATATGCGGTAATCCTACGACCAACACAACCAACAAAAGCTTTCACCAGCTCCTAAAAGGAAATGATTTCTCCATTCAAAGGTCATGGAGCTCCTGCTGTGGGCCAGGTCAGAGCGGGGCGCTACAGAAGAAAGATTAATTAAGGTCCTGCCCTCAGAGAGATCACAGTCTGGCTGGGTAGGAAGTAACTGACCAACTTCAGGGCCAAGTGGATTTTCAGAGACCATCCCATCTTCTCCCTTCCTTCCTGATGAAGGGATGGAGACCTGAAAGCACTTAGCAACAGTGACATGAGTCCAAGTGGCCAGCCCAGCCCCCTACCCACTGCCCCCAATGAGGCCCCGCTGCCAGAGACTCAAATCATGTGCCCAGACTCACCAGGTCCACATGCCTCTATGGGGATCCTTCTGGACCTTGAACCAGATAAGATCCACATTTGATAAATATTTGATTTTTCTTTTTTTTTTAAGTTTTATGTTCGCATGAGGTCATCCCTAAGGAAGGAGGCCCTTTAAGGACTGGCTCGTGGATTACTTCCTTCTCAGGAAGGAAGTGGGAGGGGCTCCACATCAAACATCACCCTTATGACAAGTTCCTTTCTCTGGGGAGTCAGACCACCCCCATGTGACTCCCAACCTGCCACTTACTAGCAGGCGACTTTAGGCAAGTTACTTTGCCCTTGCCCTGACACCCTTCTGGGCAGACCCGGGTCCTGCCTGCCTCAGCCTCTCTCAGCACCAGGCCCTGCCCCGGGCTTCTTTTCTTTCTGGTCTCTCCTCCTTTGGGTCCATGCCTCATAAACTCAGCACTTCCCCCTCTCTGAGGCTTCAGGCTGTGCCCTCAGCTCCTCTCCTCTTCCCATTTCCCAGGGGACACCCTCGCCAGACCTCCAGGGGTCCCCAACAGAGCTCAGGGCAGGCACTGGCCTTTCTAGATTCTCCCACACTCCAGAGTCAGTGTTTCTGACTAACTCTTCAGTATCACCCATGGGTGGCATGTTCTGGAACATTCAGAAATCCCTGTGTCTAGATTGCTTCAGGTTTCTCCCCTCTGAAAGTCAGTTCCTTTACTGAACTCATCACTGTCCCTGTTCCCCCAACCGAAGCTTCAGAGTCAACCCAACCTTTGGAGTCTTCCTTGTGTGCTAGCTTTCCCATCTGTAAAGCTTTGCTTTGTTACCAGTGCAAATTGTCCAACACCTAACTTTTCTTACCTGGAACACTAAACTGACTTTTTTTTAATAGCTTATTTTTTTAATTTATTTGTTTTTCAGAGAGAGAGAGAAAGAGAGAGAGAGTGAGCAGGGGAGGGGAAGAGAGAGAGGGAGACAGAATCCCAAGCAGGCTCCATGTTGTCAGTGCAGAGCCCGATGCGGGACTTGAACCCACCAACTGTGAGATCATGACCTGAGCTGAAACCAAGGGTCAGATGCTTAACCAACTGAGCCACCTAGGCACCCCTAAACTGACTTTCTAAGTGGAGATCATAAGATAGGAAACTCTCACAAACCTTTCAATTTGAGGTATAAACAGAAGGGATGAAGGGCAAAACAATGGCCTTCTCAGAGGGGATCCTACATTTTACCACGGACCCAGCAGTCGGCAGTGATGAGCTCAGGGTCGCATGGAACCCTTACGAGGTAGGTCACATCCTTATTTTATGGATGAGGGAGATTCAAGGTGAAGGATGAGAGGAGTACAGAACTGGACCGTGTCGGACTTGCCTTTTCTTTTCCAGGATGCTCCAAGCTAAAATGACAGCAGCAGATGGTCTGCTAGGACCTAAGAACTTTTTCAGCATCGGAGAAATTAAAAACCCTCAGAGAGAGACAGAGAGAAAGGGAGAGAGAGAGAGGGAGAGTATGTGAGTGTGAGAGAGTGTGTGTGTGTGGCCCTGGGGCATGTCTTGAATTACTTCGGGGTAGCTCCAGAGCCCCACTGTATCATATCCCCCAACCAGACACCCCAATACTGAGGAGGCTCATCTAGATCCAGAACACAACGCCCATGGGAGTGTCACAGACCCTTTCCCTACACTTCAGGGCTAGAACAAGCGAGGACCAGGTCACAACCTTATCTGAAAGCATAATTCTTAGTTTAATGCTTCCTTGCTAAAAAAAAAGGATTCCTATGTAGGCACGATTCGTTCAAGCCCTTTTTGGAAATGGGCTATCAAAGCTTGGGCAACGGTTCAGCTATGTAAGACTCCAATCCATTAGGCTCTAGCACATGTGGAAATGATTAATGTGTAACTGCCGTGTGTCCTCTGGTCCATCAGCAACCACGAAAGCCACAGCAAACGCTGAAAGAAATACAGGAAAATCCTTAAACTGTTCAGGCCAACTACACTTTTCCAGAAGTGAAATTACCCTTACTTTTCCCATTAAACGTAGAAAAGCTGGGAAGAATTGCACAGCGCTAAGGCAGTGGTTGGGAAGAACTCTCTGATTCACGGTACACTCCGAGGAGGAGGAGGGGAAGGGAGAAGCTAGGGATTGCACAACTCTGTGCCCATTCGTTAAGTGTTGAAAATACAGGAGGTATTCCTGTACAGTAATTCCCTAGGGAGCAAAACCTTCTCCCTCTTGCAGATGTGGAAGACGAGATCAGAAGAGCAAGTCACTTTTGTTTCTTGACCCAGTTCTCAAACTGGCCCAGCGCTCACTATCCACAACCATGGCGACCAACGTTCCAGAAAGGACCGCGGGGCGCCCCCCCCCCCCAATCAAAACCCCAACAGAATCACCCCCCACCCCCACCTCTAAAAGCAGCGACCAAACCATTTCTCAATCTCCAGACCAATGAAAACGTTCACCAGGAATGTAAAACTCACACAGCTGGCTAGTGGCCACCTTCTCTCCTTAACTCGCGCTAAAAATCGGGGAAAACAACTCAAAGTCACAGTTTTTAAGTGCAGGTCGTAAAAAACGAGTCATTTGCCGCTGTTGACTTCCAATAAAAGGCAAAGGAGCCTCTGTAATATTGGGGTTTTTTTCCTTACAGAAATGGGGGGGAAAGAAAGCGGCCAGTCTGGGGTTTGACTGCACGCGGGGGCAGGGCTGGCCACCTGTGGCCTCGCGCCTCGTGGCCGGACTGGACGGAGGGGACGAGAGGTCCCCGGCCACTGGGCCCTTCCAGCCGCCGGTCCCCGCCAGAGGAAGCGGATGCAGGAGGGAAGAGGCATTTTCTCAGCATCCAACGCCCCTACGCCACCTCCCACCCAAACACTCCTTTGTGGGACTGGCGGAAAGCCCTTTGGGGATTTGTCCCACGTGCTTTCAGGCTCAGAATGGCAACGCTGGCCTGGCTCTCCGGAGAGGGAGCCGGGCAGGGCCCCTCCTGGGCCCCTCAGGAGGAGGCAGACTTAGTTTCGGAAGGCGGGGGTGTGGAGGCGCCCCCGATTCCCGACTCCCCAGCTGGCCTGCTGGATTGGGGGCCGCACGCCCGCCGCCGCGCAAGGTGCCGGGGATAAAACAGGCCGTCCTGGAAGCTGGGAAGGGGGCGGCGGGGGAGCGGAGGCGCCCGCTGTAACCCGAGCTGCTCTACTGATTTCTCTCCGGCCTTGCGGTTCCCATTTCACAGACAAGGCCACCACGGCTGGGAAGTCAGTGAGCTCGCCAAGCCCGGGTCAGCGGTGCGGACGCCCGGTGGCCCCGGAGACGGGCGGGGGAGCGTGACCGTGACCGTGACCCCTCCAGGGCTACCCCTCCCAGGAGTGAGAGCTTCAGCCCGTCGGCCCCGCACCCGACGTCCCGGGCCGTCGGCCCATCTAGTTCCCTGGAGGCGACAGGTGCGCGGCTAGTGGCGCCCTGGCGCCGACTCCGGGGAAAGTTTCCTGGCCGCTGCGCGCTGTTTACGGTCTCGTTTTGCAGCGCTGGGGCCCCGAGCTCTCAGGCCAGCCCAGCCATTGAAACCCGACACGCGGGGAGGGGCCATCGCGCCGGCCAGCGAGGGAGGCGAGCTGGCTTCGGGCCCCGCCGGCCGCGGCTCCGCTTACCTGCGGCTCCGCGAGCTGCCTCTGCCTCCATGCTGGGCTCCCACGGCGCTGCGTCCGGTCCCCTCCGCGCTCCCTCCTCTCCCCGCCCGGGGCCGCCCCCGCTCCCGCTCCCGCCCCCACTCCGAGGCTGACCCGCCCCTCCCCCCGGACTGCGCCGGATCGCGGCCCGCTCCCCAGAGCTGGCGCTGCCCCGCCTCCAGCCGCGTGCCCTGGGGGCCCCCCGCTGCGCCGCCCAGCGACCCCGACTCCCCAGTTTGCAAAGCTACACCCTGAGGAGCTTTTATTATTTCCTTTCATTCTTTAGAAAAGAAAACTATTTGCACCCCATCCCATGGCCAGTGTCTCTGGGCCTAAACCCAGTACCCCCTCTCTGAGCCCCTTCTCACTTCCTTCTTCTGTTTCTAAAGACAAGAATCACTTGCATTATTCCTTTTCGAAAAGTTACACGGTTTAAAACTAACTCAAAGACCATGAATGTCACACATAAGACAGGGCGCCTAATAACCTTTTCTGCCCATTTCAGATTTCTTCTGATGCCTGTCATGTGCCCAGTTTTGCCGATAACGAATATTTTCATTTATTAGATGTTCAGGCTTGTCCTCACTTGAAATAGCGTGATTCAGCCAATTGTTTCTCCAGCAGTTCTTGCCGTGTTTCCAGGTTTTTGTTTTTGTTTTTTACAGGGGAGGTAAGGAGCCGGGTGGTTTTAAAATGCGAACGGCCTTGGAACCCAAGATCTGTGGTCAGTCAGCTCGTGCCTGCTCTCTGGTTGGCAGCTCTGAAATTCGCCCTTGTGGTTGATGGCCCAAGTTGTATCCTCGGTCCTTCTGGGCCTCTGCCGCAGGACAGAAGGTCTAGAACTCATCTGCCGGCCTGTCCCTCCACCCCCAGCAACAGCTGCTCGGGGGAGCCTCCCAACTGCCGGTCAGAGTGTATCCCCACCTACAGAGCAAGACTTGTCACGGACGCGGACATCCTCAATCATGGGATGAAAAACGACCCCCCCACCCCTGCCCCTGCTGGTGCGTCCATTATTTTTCGTAGCAGTGTGCAAGTTCATGGCGACCAGAGCTGGAGACCCAGCTTAGATCCACCCTTGAGTAACTTTCTTGAAAGTTTGAGGTTTCATTTTCTACAGCAATGAAAACGCAGCGCTCCCTGGGCAATAGCATTCAGAACACTTAACTTCTCCAAACACCTGTCCTGTTTAATAAACACAGATTTATTAGGCCACTACCATGTGCCCTATCCTGTTCTCGATTGTAGCGATTCAGCAGTGAACAAAATTAATAAAACCTTGCCTTTGGAGGCTACTTTCTAGTGGGTGAAAGTGAGCAGGAGATAGAACACAATAGTATGGTAAATATGGGCTAAAGGAGAAAAATGTTTAAAACAGAGAAAAGGAAGTAAAAGCATGAAGAAAATGAGGGAGGTAAGCATGTGAAAAAGGGAAATGGCAAAAGTTACAGCAAGTGCAAAGGCCCTGAGGTGGGAACAAGTCTCTTTTTGGGAGCCTTGCATCTTTGTTGCACTCCTAATAATCGTGGGTGTTACTCAAGGCATTGGCACACAGAGCTAAAGGCTTATTAATCTCTGCTCTAAAGCACACTGCTTCAAGGGCACCTGGGTGGCTCAGTTGGTTAAGCCTTGGACTTAGTCTCAGGTAATGATCTCACGGTTCCTGAGTTCAAGCCCCACATCTGGCTCTGTGCTGATAGCTCAAAGCCTGGAGCCTGCTTCGGATTCTGTGTCTCAGTCCCCCTATGCCCCTCCCCCACTTGCGTGCGCACGTGCTCTCTCTCTCTCAAAAATTAACATTTAAAAATTTTTTTAAAAAAATAAAGCATGCTTCTTCAAGTCTTTGTTAATTTTTTTTAAGTTTTGTATTTTTTTTTAGTGACTCACATAATACCTGAATATGTGTTCCTTCAGGAAAAAAAAAAAAAAAGATTTTAGACTAAAAAGGTCCCTGTGTCCCATTAAACTCCCGTTTCCAAAGTTGGTATTTAGTCAAACACTCCCTCTTTTCCTTAATAATTTCTGGGTTTTTCTGTCTCTCTTTAGGCTGAAACTACCCCAAAATTAGAAAATAAGTTCTTCTACATTTGCTTCCAATATTTTAATTGTTTTGGCCTGTAGATTGGAATTTTAAAACCAATCAAAACTCATCTATGTCTATGGCATAAGGAATAGATCTAACTAGAACCAATTTTTCCAACACCATCATATGGTCCATTCTTTTCCCCATTACTATGAATTGCTTCCTAAATCATATATGAAATTCTTGTATACATTACAGCTCTTCTTTTATTGACAATTTTTGCTATTTCTTCTACAATACCACACTATTTTAATTACCATAGCTTCGTCACATGTTTGGACATCCAGGAAGACAAGCATTTTCTAATCAAATATTCAAACCAGGGAGTTAAGGATATTGGGAGTTGACACAGATTACATCTAACCTTGAACATTAATTTGCATAGAATTAACATCTTTATTTTTTTAAGTGTATTTATTTATTTTGGCTGGGCGGGCCAGGGGTGGGGGTGCGGCACAGAGAGAGAAGGAGAGAGACAATCCCAAGCAAGCTCAGTGCTGTCAGCAAGGAGCCTGCCGCAGGGCTTGATCTCATGAATCATGAAACCAAGAGCCGGAGGCTTAAGCGACTGAACCACCCAGATGCCCCTGAGCATTAACATCTTTAAAGTTTTGAGTCTTCCAATAAAAAAACCTAAGCTCACTTAGGGTTTATTCAGGTCTTTTTTTTTTTTTTTTCTTTTTGGCTAGTTTTTACAGATGGATCTAGTTTTTACTAGATGGATCTAGTTTTTACAGATGGATCTAATACATTTCTTTATTTTTTAATTTTTTTCTTTATTTTAGAGAGAGAGAGAGCAAGCAGGGGAGAGGAGCAGAGGGAGAGAGAGATTCTTTTTTTTTTTTTTTTTTTCCCTAAACTTTGCTTACTTATTTATTCTGAGATAGAGAGAGTGCAAATAGGGAAGGGGCAGAGAGAGAGAGGGAGAGAGAGAATCCCAAGCAGGCTCTGCACCACCAGCAGGGAGGGTGCAGGGCTCCAATTCACAAACTTTGAGATCCTGACTTGAGCCCAAGTCAGACTCTTAACCAACTGGCACCCTGAGAAAGAGAGAAAGGGAGAGAGAGAGAGAGAGAGAGAGAGAGAGAGAGAGAGAGAGTCTTAAGCAGGCTCCACTCTCAGTAGAGAGCCCTACATGGGGCTCAATCTCATGACCCTGGGATCATGACCTGAGTAGAAACCAAGAGTGGGTCGCTCAACTGACTGAGTCACCCAGGCACCCCTTTTAAATTATTTTTTATTTTATTTTTTATTATTTACTTTTTGGATCTAATACATTTCTTACGCTAAGTTTATTCCTACATATTTCTGATATTTGTTGGCCATTATGAATGGGATTTTTCTTTTCTCCAGTTACAGTTGCTAATTAGCTATTATGGTACATAAGAAAACTATTGGCTTGGGTATACACCAGTTTCCTATCCAGCCACTCTTATGAGGTCTAATAGTTTTTAAAGTCAATTATCATAGATTTTCTAAGTAGAGCATCAGATTGTCTATAAATAAGTTGTTAGCTGTCTAAATCTACCTCAAACCTCAGCAACTCCACACTCACTTCTAACACTAAAATTGCTTTTAAGCTAACCAAGAAGAAAAGAAAAATATTATTTAAATATGTATACTGGAAAATAGAGCTCCCACAAAGGCCTAGAGCATGTTTTCAATATGGTTCTGTCTTACATCCAAGAGGTAGTTTAGTCCTCGTCCAGCCTCATTTACCTACATGGACATTTCCTCAGTGCTCAGAACACAACTGTTCTAGCCATTCCCCAGGTATTTGTGAAATTTGAAGGGAAAATCCAGTATTTAAACTAAAGGGCTAGTAAGCTACTGGATTTTAATAAGTAAACAAATTCCTTTTGTAGCAGTTGCTACTTTTGGGTCAAGGAGCTGTAGTCCTGATAAAAGAGAGAGAGAAACAGATCAAGGCTTAGCAAAAATTGAAGGACAGAATATAACACAGAAGAAAAATATAGACAAAACTTTCTTCTATAAAATGTAGGGAAAACATTACCTTATAATGTATCAGAGCAGACTGCTAGAAATTTTAAAACACAAATTTTCAAGCTATTAGTTCATAATTCTTCAGTGACATAAAAAATAGCAGCTTTCTGGAACCAGCATGGCTCAGTCACGTCGGACTCTTGATTACGGCTCAGGTCACTGATGTGGGAAACAAAGGCAGAAGAAAGTGGAAGATAAAATTAAATTCCCTTATAACCTGCAGCCCATTGACAAATACTTGAGGCAGGCGGAGTAAAACATTTCTCCAGGAACTCCCAACTGTCTTCATGTTAATCCTTTGCTAGAGGGAAAAACAGCCTTAGCTTGACAATAGCTAGGCCTCCAGGAATATGTGTCTTCTTTAGCATATGGAAATCCCTTCGGAAACTTCCCCTGAACTTTACCTCCCCCAGCTTTCAGGTATATAATCACTCTCTCCCCAAGGTCCCAGGGCAGCTCTTTCTGCCCACCGGTCCTGTCCCCGTGCTTTAATAAAGAAAAACTTTTAGCACCGAAGACATCACAAGAATTTTTTCTTGACTGTGCGCTCTGAACCCCCATCACTTCAAAACCCCATCAGTCATGATCCCAAGATTGTGGGATCGAGCCCCGTGTCAGGCCCCAAGCTGAGTGTGGAGCCTGCTTAAGTTTCTCCCTCTCCTTCTGTCCCTCTCCCCGACTCATGCTCTCTCTCAAATGAAAGATAAATAAATAAATAAATAAATAAATAAATAAATAAATAAATAAATACCAGCATCTTTCTATACCAGTTTCCTGTGGAAATATTGAACATAATCCCGATGTTATAATATAATGTGGTTTCTAACATACCAATTCTGTTCTAAAACAGTTTTAAATGGTTGTTTCAGAGTATTACAAAAGTCTCAAATTTTTAATTTTTAAATAAATAGGTGCTGTGAGCATTTGAGAGCTATTCTTTAGTAGGAAGGTTAAAAACATGA